TGGTATTACTAATCTGAAGAAGCATCTCTTCCAGCATTTTCAAACTAAGGATCTAGGCAGATTGAAGTACTTTCTAGGTATTGAGGTTGCTCAATCTAGCTCAGGTATTGTTATTTCTCAAAGGAAATATGCTTTAGACATTCTTGAAAAGACAGGGATGATAGGTTGCAGACCTGTTAACACTCCGATGGATCCGAATTCTAAACTTCTGCCAGGACGGGGGAGCCGCTTAGCGATCCTGCAAGCTATAGGCGGCTGGTTGGTAAATTAAATTATCTCACAGTGACTAGACCCGACATTTCTTATCTTGTGAGTGTTGTAATTCAGTTTATGAATTCTCCCTGTGATACTCATTGGGATGCAGTACGCCGCATTATCCGATATATAAAATCGGCTCCAAGCAAAGGATTACTGTTTGAGGATCGAGGTCATGAGCAGATCGTTGGGTACTCAGATGTTGATTGAACAGGATCACCTTCTGATAGGCGTTCTACGTCTAGATATTGTGTTTTAGTAGGAGGAAATTTGGTGCCCTGAAAAGCAAGAAACAGAATGTAGTTGCTCGGTCTAGTGCAGAAGCAGAATATCGAGCAATGGCTATGGCAACATGTGAACTAGTCTGGACCAAACAATTGCTCAAGGAGTTGAAATTTGGTGAAATCAGTCAGATGGAACTTGTGTGCGACAATCAAGCGATTGATTGTCACTTCGTAAGAGAGAAGATACTTTCAGGAGATATTACTACGAAGTTTGTGAGGTCGAATGATCAACTTGCAGATATTTTCACCAAGTCCCTCCCCGGTCCTCGCATTGGTTATATATGTAACAAGCTCGGTACATATGATTTGTATGCTCCGGCTTGAGGGGGTGTTAGATATAGATATGTAGTTGTCCCACATTGGAATAGGTGTAGTATGTCCTTTGTATAGAGTAGTTATAAATTAGGACATCTTGTATTGCATTAGACACACAACATCAATATATCATATTTTCTCCAGTGCCTTCTCACAATTCCTAATTTTATCCAACCTGGTATGCCCACACATCCACCTGAACATCCTCATCTCAGTTACTTTAATCTTCTGGACATGAGGATTCTTAACAGGCCAACACTTTGCTCCATACAGCATAGTCGGTCTAACTACAACCTTGTAGAACTTGCCTTTAAGTCTCAGCGGCACATTCTTATCACACAAGAGACCAGAAGCGAGCCTCCACTTCATCCATCCTGCTCCGATATGGTGTGTGACATCCTCATTAATCTCCCCGTTACCTTGTATTATAGATCTAAAGTACTTGAAACTACCTCTCTTGGGGATGACTTGTGTATCAAGCCTCACCTCATATCTGCTTCATGGGTAACGTTGTTGAACTTACACTCCAAGTATTTCGTCTTGGTTTTGCTCAACTTGAAACCCTTAGACTCAAGGGGTTACTTCCAGACCTCCAGCCTCTCGTTAACACCACTCTGCGTCTCGTCAATAAGAACAATGTCATTAGCAAATAACAAATACCATGGCACCTCTCCTTGAATGTGTCGCGTCAATGCATCCATCGCCAAGGAAAATAGATGGAATCCTAAAATGCATTTCAAAGTTCGGAGTGAATGAGAACAAATCAAAGCACTGGTACCTGCTATTTTATTTTAGTAACCTAACCACTATGTAAACAAGAACTACAAGCCCAATTTTTTTTACATGCTCTCTCTACCTGCTCTCAGCTCATGTTAGTTAACGTGCGCTGACCTCGTCTCATCCATGGCGAGCGGGAGTGGAAGAGGGCGTGGTAGGCCCAATAAAGCTCCTACTACCACTGTAGGTAGTTCTGTAAGTTCGCGAATTCAAGCAAAGGACGGTAACATTGATCGATCTGGTCTGATACTAGGGCTCAATGGAAGGATATGGGAGGTGCCTCTAGCTTTGGAGTCTAAAAAAACCTAGATCTAACAACATTTTCATCAATTGGAAATCTTCCCCGACCAGAGAATGCACCAAAGCAACAGTCAAAGAATGGAACAGTAACAACTGCTGAGGAACCTAGAGAGATGAGGAATTATGCACCTCCTCCAACAGATGCACCTCCTAAACCATGGTGCAACCTCTTCCAGAAGAATCGCTCTGCAGCAAATGGTATGCCTCTATCTTATATTCTTCCACAGATCAAAAATGGCCAAATAGTTGCTCAATTGGACAAAAATGAGGTTAAATCTGAGACAGAGAAATGGAAATGTGCTCTAATTATGTACATACTTGGGGAGATACCGGGGTAGAATACTATGAAGCAATATATCAATGTCAATTGGGCCAATGTTGCAGAACCAGATGTATTCCTACATGAGGAAGGGTACTATATTGTCAAATTTCGAACAACTGCTGACATGCAAGAGATCTATTATTCTGGGCCTTACTCCATCAATAATAGGCCTATGATCCTGAAGCCATGGACCTCGGACTTTGATTTTAATGAGCCTTCCCACTGAAATTCCCCTCTTGGTCAAATTCCCAAAGTTGCCTATGAACTGTTGGGGATCTTATTCACTCAATAGAATAGCCCGTGTTGTTGGTACACCCATATTTGCTGATGAATGTACGACTAGGAAGACTAGGGTGTCCTTTGCTAGAATATTAATTGAGATTACTTTTACTAAGCCATTACCTAATGAGATCTGTGTCATGGATCCAAATGAAAGGCAATTTGTGCAAGGTGTGTATTATGATTGGAGACCTGATTTTTTTGACCAACACCAAAAAGCTGGCCATAAGTGAGCTCCTCATAAGGGATTAGATAAACAAGAGGCTAAACAACAGACTAAGCATCATGTGAAGACAAAGGAGCCCAAGAAAGTGACTATGGAATGGAGAACTAAAGGGCCTGTACTGAAAGTTGATAGCCGGCCTTTGCAACATCAAAACCACCCTACACCAATGACACCAGCTGACAGCAGGTTCTGCATATAGCCTCTTCAAGTTGTATGCTAGAAACTAGCCAAAGGCAAAGAAACAGCCAATCTCCAAATGATGCTCCTGTGTCCAAGGAGTGTCATCGAGGGAAACAAGTGGAAAGTAGCTCTGAGTTTAATCTAGCAAACTTCCTTATGCTTTCTGTTGTCACAGTGAAAAGTTCTCTTGATGTATTACCCAGTGGGACTGGAGATATACACCAATTGCCCCTTGACAGAGGTAGAGGCCATCTTACATGTTGATCAACTGGCTATTTTGGAATGTTCGGGGAGTCAATAAGAGGTATAAACAAAAAGAGCTACATCACTATATTAAAAATTGGAATATCAAACTAGCTGGATTGATAGAGACAAGAGTGAAAGAACATAACTCACATAGAGTTAGCAAAGCTATTGTACCTGACTGGAATATTTTTACCAACTACCAATATGCTCAGAATGGTAGGATCTGGCTCATTTGGGATTCACGATGGTATACTATGAACTTATTAAAAGCTGGTGCACAATTCTTGCATTGCCATCTAAGAGATAATTTCGGGAAATTGGATTGCTTAATGACTGTTGTTTATGGATATAATACTGCTGAGCAAAGGAATGGGCTGACATGCAGGGTTTGGCTACAAATATAACTGCACCTTGGATAATATGTGGAGATTTCAACGGTGTACTGTACCTTCAAGACAGGTTGCTGGGTAATCGTATAACATATGTTGAAACTCAGGACTTCTCTGCTTGTATTCAAACATTGCAGATTAGTGAATTGCCATGGAAGGGAAACTACTATACTTGGTCAAATAAGCAGCATAGACCAGATAGAGTTAGTAGTAGAATTGACAGTCTTTGAAAATTTTGAATGGATGATGCAATGGGGGCATGTGCAAACTTAATATGATCTGCCCCTAATTTCTGATGATTCACCTATGTTGCTCTCCATCTGCACGGCTACTAAGTCTGGAAAAATTCCTTTCAAATTTTTAAATGTTTGGGCAGACTGTGCTAACTTCCTACAGCTAGTGCAAGATGTATGGGGTCAGAATTTAGCAGAGTGGAGAATGAAGAATATTTGGCTAAAACTTAAAGCTCTAAAGCCTAGACTCAAGATATTGAACAATGAAGAATTCAAAACTATTACTACTAAGATTGACCAGGCTAGAGGTGAACTTCAAGGTATTCGGGAGCAGATTGTTTCACAGTGTACTGATTACCTACCGGACCAGGAGAAAGCTATGTTTCATCAGCTAGAAAAATGGTCTCTCATATAGAAAAGTGTACTGAAGCAAAAATCTAGAGCTAAGTGGATTAAGCTTGGGGATTCAAACACCAAATACTTTTCTACATAGTGAAGGAAAGGACTCAGAAGAAGCAGATCAAAGAAATTACCTCTCTAGATGGACAGACACTAAATGACTCTTGAGGGGATAAAACATGAAATTATTGAGTTCTACAAATCCTTGATGGGACTGCTGCCCAGACTCTTCCTGCTATCAACAGGGAGATCATGAAGCAACGACCAACCCTCTCACAACAGCAAAGACTTCAGCTGTGTGCAGAAGTCATTGATCAAGAAATCTTTGAAGGATTACAAGCTATTGGTGATGACAAGGCACCAGGGGTGGATGGTTACAATGCTCATTTCTTCAAGAGAACCTAGCCAATTATGAAGGAGGAGGTTTGTGAAGCTGAAAAAAACTTCTTTACCTCTGGTAGAATGTACAAAGCCATAAATTGTACTACCATAATATTAGTCACTAAGGTTGATAAACCTATTATTGTGAAAGACTTCATACCAATAGCTTGTTGTACCCTACTTTATAAGCTAATCTCCAAGGTGTTAGCAACAAGAATAACGAGGATCATTGCATCTATAATCAGTGCAAATCAGGTTGGTTTCATACCTGGGAGAAGAATAGATGATAACACTATCTTTGCTCATGAATTGGTCAAATCTTATACAAGAAAGCATATCTCTGACAGATGTATGATCAAGATTGATTTACAAAAAGCCTATGACTCAGTGGAGTAAATTTTTTTGGAACAGGTAATGGATACATTGGGCTTCCCTACAAAGTTTACTGGCTGGATACTTGAATGTGTCAAGACTGTCAATTATACTGTATTGATAAATGGGGAAACTACTGTTCCATTTGATGCTGCTAAAGGACTTAGACAAGAAGATCCTATCTCCCCTTTCCTATTTGCAATTGTCAAAGAGTACCTCAGTAGAAGCTTAAATGGACTGAAAGGAATCAACGAATTCAAATATCATCCAAAGTCTGTTAAACTGGGCATCACACATTTAAGCTTTGTTGATGACTTACTTTTGATTGCAAAAGGAGACTTACCATCAGTTGCTGCCATGCATAGATGCTTCAGTCATTTCTCACAATCTTCAGGACTCCAAGCCAACTTGGGAAAAAGCTCTGTGTACTTTGGAGGGATCTCTCCACCTGAGAGAACTAGAATTCTACAACACTTGGGTATGGGCATGGAGAATTGCCTTTCAAATATTTAGGCATACCACTATCAACTAAGAAGATCGCACTGATTCAATTGCAGCCCCTTATTCAAAAGATAGTGGCAAGAATATCTTCGTGGACAGCTAAGAAACTGTCCTATGCAGGGAGGGTACAGTTAGTGCAAAGTGTGGTATTTGGCATCCAAGATGACTGGGCTCAACTGCTTCCATTTCCTGTCAAGGTGCTGAAGCTTATTGATGCTTATTGTAGGAGCTACATTTGGTCTGCAGCCAATAATATTACTAAGAAGGCCCTGGTATCATGGGAGAATATTTGTTCTCATAAGTCTAGTGGAGGCCCGAATCTAGTGAATATTCAATTGTGGAACAAAGTATTGCCAAAGTGAGTTGGGATGTGGAAATAAACAAGACAGGTTGTGGATCAAATGGATCCACTCTTACTACATCAAAGGACAGTATTTTTGCAAACAGCAGTGCCTAAGCAAGCCTGTTGGATGATCAGGCAGATCTTTAATGCTCGAGTAACTATGAACCAGGTGCAAAGGAATAACTCTGGGACTAGTTTAACTAAGCACATATACTTACAGTTACTGGGAGATAGGCCTCATGTGAATTGGAAATGTTTAATGTTTCAGAACAATACAAGGCCTAAAGCACAATTTACCATGTGGATGTTATTACATGGCAGGCTTCTCATTACAGATAGGCTTCGACAATGGGGAATGGCTGTGGAGACACAATGTGCACTATGTCATGATCGTGATGAAAGTAGGGAACATCTGTTTGTAAACTGTGTTTTTACCAAGACCTTATGGAGAAGATCATGCACTGGATGCAGCACGGATAAAGGACAACAAATACTAGGGAGCAACACCTGCAGTGGGTACTTCAGAATGCTAAAGGAAACTCCCAAAGAGCCAAACTATATCGGATGGTTTATGCAGAAATATCGTATGCCATTTGGATTGAGAGGAATCTGAGGATTTTTTAAAGAAGGCCTAGAGAATGGAATACCATTGCACGCGAAATAGCCTACATTTGCAACATTAGAGCTGCTACTGGACTACATAGATTAGCACAGAGTTTTGTGTTTGTTTGATTTCATAGTCTACATGTTTACATAGGTTGTCGGATTTGTAATGAGATAGCTAGTTGTGTAAGCGATGCTATGGCTTTGTACAGTTATACCGGTGATTAAAATAAAGTGATTAAAAAAAGAACTACAAGCGCAAGGAAAAATTAGACTATTTATCCATAACTCCTCCGCATTTATGTTGGTTCCACTTTATTTCCCTTTTCTCTTTTTCCAAGTAAATGAGACTATGTTTCCATTCCATTGCATGTATCACAGAAATAATACATTTTCTTCTGTCCCTTTTTCTGCTTAATCTCTAGGGTAAATTAGCCATCCACAAAAAAATGTAATTTAGAGGCTATATTTATAAATCTTCAAGTATAGACATATTGACACTTGAAACTGCACAACTGAAAATTTCCCATCTGAACGATCAGCACCTAAAATCCTAAATGAGCAAAATATGTATTTTCATTTTTACTACTGCTAGGAAATTAAACACTCAGACCCTTGTACTACTAAGAGCAAAACCCATCTTCTGGAATTTTATCCTGAGTTAAGCAAGCCTCCCAGGTGACAATCCATCCAAACCAGGCAGCTTTGACAGGGGCCTTAGTTCTCTGGATACTCTTCCAAGGCCAATTTGGAAGTTGGAACCTCTGAACAGAAAGATTATTAACAAACATATTGTCCTTATTATTCACCCAAATCAAACCATCCTCCTTATTTTGATCCACTGAAATTGACTCCAACTGTTGAATGAGTTGACGGTAACCTTCTATCTCCCAATCATTTGAGTTTCTCCAGAATTATATTTGCCTTCCTGACTCAGTGAAAATCAGATACAAAGCCATCCATATTCACAGAACAACTGAATAAAACTGGAAATCTGCTTCTTAAACTATAATTCCCAATTCAAGTATCCAAAACTTAATTCTAGCCCCATTACCCATAACTTAGTATGTTGCGAGAATTCTTCCCACAACCCCACTAATGCCCTTCCAGACTCCCCCTGCAACCCTCAGCTGTGTGGGACTTTGTCTCCAATCATCCATCTTGTCATAGATAGCATCAAGGAGCCTTTTCCAGATTTCATCACCACCCTTGTTGTATCTCCACAGCCTTTTAAACAATAAGCTTTTAATGTGCAATCTCAAATTCTTCACTCCCAAACCTCCCTCTTTCTTATCATTTGTAACCATTTGCCATTTAACTAAGTGAATCTTCCTTTTATTTTTACTTTTTTTGATTTGCACCGAATGTCCGAGTCTCTAAGAGCCCCGACTAATTCCGGGGGTGCACAGGCCCTCGGCAAGGAGTTTCCCGTAAGTGCACCACGGTTAATTCAGGTTTTACCCAGTCCGATGGCCTCAGAAATTGTTTGCACCCAGTGGGTTTCGAACTTGAGACCTTGAAAGGGAGCAAACTCCAAGGCTCAAGTCAATTGCCACCAGACTTGAAAGGGAATCTTCCTTTTATTTGCATTACCTTTCCATAAGAAGTCAATTCTTATGGAGTTCAGCTTCTTCTCAACTGCTACAGGCATAGGAAATAGAGACATGGTATATGTTGGCATTCCGTCCAACACACTACTAATTAGAATAAGTCAACCCCCAAAGGATAAATATTGTTTCTTCCATGGGGTTAACTTATTTGTACATCTCTCAATTACTCCTTGCCAAATATTTTTCTCTTTCTTCTTCACCAGTAGTGGCAATCTCAGATATACTATAGGGAATTGTCCACCTCACATCCCAAAATATCAGCTAATTCTTCAATATAATCTTCAACATTAATACTAAACATACTTGCTAATGTATGGACTACAGTACACAGCTAGGTTAGGTAATACAGCAACATATATTAAACCTCTTTTGTGATTTGGATTTTGGTACATCCTCATATATTTCATAACAACTTGAAGTTCCTTATTTGATTACTGCTTGACATTCATTGCTTGTTCAAGGTCTCCAGCCAGAAATTATATTCTCAAAGTGATCATTGTGGAGAAAAAATGGGACACTCAGTTAAGAGGCCTAGAGGACGACCACGGCTCTCCACAACTCAAGGTACATATCTTATTTAGTTTGTTTTGGTTAATAAATTTCCCTCTAGAAAGCTATACGAAATTGAAACCAAACAAACATCACATATTTGAAAGACAAGTTCTGGTATATCTACCGGCATCAACAAACTTATGCAAGCACAGCCACATCCTACTAATTTTTCTTTCCTTTTTTTGATAAGTGAACCGAGAAATCCCCAAGGGCCATAGGCGTATGGTTTCGGAACTCGGGGGATAATGAGCCCGACCCTCTACCATCGCGATAAAGTTTTCTGTTAGCCAATTGGGAAATTTGAAATAATTAACGATGGTATCTAGTGCACAGCTTACTTTTCCCCTCCTAAAGGTCTTTGAAACATAGTCCCGTTGTCCAAATTCTACTGACTTCTGCTATGCATGGAGAAAAATTGAGATCATGTAGTGTTATAGAGAAACTGAAGCCAAGTATAGAGTTGAAGTAATTTTTCTCATAAGTTTAGAGGGCATAATGATAAAATGATCTCTATATAACTTTCTTTTTAATCAAGGAGTGTTATATTAACACTTTGACAAAGGCTCTATAGAGGTGCTAGACTTATGTGGATACAACTTTTCAAATAGTGTAATTTTCAAAAGGTGATAAATAGGGAAAGAAACAAGATTTTGATTTAAGTTAAATGGAAAGCATTTTGTAAATTCATTTTGGAATAATTTTAAATTAAGGAACAATATTTTCAATTTAGAAAGCAGAATGCATTTTGCAACAGAACAAAAGGGAACAATACAATCTATAGGGAGCAAGGGGCCGGCTACAAAAGTTAAAAAAAATTTAGAGATGTTTCTCAACATTGTAGCAAAATCATGATAATTGTTCTAGCGTGATCTTTGACATTTAGTAAGAAGATTCCTGAAACAACAGATTCCTTGCAGTCACGTTCATAACATATAGTGAGAGTACCATATAGAGTGAAAGAGGGAAGAGAATGTGTCCATCAGCTCTACAAACACAGAGGAATCTAATCAACCTGTGGTAAGGAAGATCGGTGGGAAACATATTACTTGAAATAGATTGTATCTGCATACCTTATCGAAAAATAGATTGTATGTGCATTGATATTTACATATAACATGTTTTTTATCTCTGTGTATCTTTGTCCACTAATTCACATGAGTTCAGAAGTGAAGAACCACCCACAGAGAGGAGTTCTCACACACAAAAATTGTCACTTGCCTCTCATGAATTTTCCAGGCAGATGTCCCGACAAGGATAGAAGGTCTTGTCATTCTGGAACAGCAGATGACAATTTGCAAGTCTGGAGCTCCTCTCTAGTAGATGTCCCCATATCATCAGTTGATTTGAATGAGATTCCAGGTACATCGCCCATCAAAGGAACGAAAGTCGACACAGTTACGGTCCCTATGGATAACAATCTGAATTAACATGTGGTGAAAGAACAGAGACATGTTCAAAGGCTTAAACCACAGAAATTTTGCTTCAAAGGACCTAAGATGGGAAACATGGCAAGACACTGCATTTTTCAGATATCCTCAGACAAGGAATGAGCATAATGAATGAACGGTTTAGAACTATTACTTCTCTGACCTGACTGATGATGGAACGAGGAGAGATAAATCTTAAGCACATAATTGCACCTTACTGGTTGTACATTTTCTAAGTCACTCTAATAATGATGTCTCTTATGCTACTTCATTTTGTTTTGCAACATTTCAAGTTTTTCTCACATTCTGTGTTAGTACCTAAGACGCAGATGCATAAATTACCTGATAAACTCTTGATTGGATGCAGTCCACTCCTCGTGATTTCCTGCACTTCTAAGTTTTCAAATAGCACTAAAATTTCTATTTTGACAAAATCTAATTGGTCTTAGTACTCATTTTATGTTTCTCCCTATTGCTGGAAGTCTAGTACTTCAGACAAAGACTTACCAGCTCAAACAACTTTAATATGACTAGCTTCTGAATCTGCAATAAGGATACATCTGATATATCCATTGCACTCAACTGTGCTCCCAGAACCACTGGATATTTCAAGAAAATGATTTGTAATTAGTAAATTATTTTGTTCCAATTTTATGTATCTCTCCGAACACCCAAGAGACCACTTAATCAATTAGATTTTCAGAATAAAACTATGTTTACTGCTTAAAACGGAAATAAATAATCCACTGCAATACTACTTCCAGCTAGAAAAGCATATATAAACGTGCATTTAACATGTAAAGTTACAATGATTACAAAGAGAAATTCCTTAATTCCGCGTTTTACAACTAAAAACAATCATTGCAAGCACGACATTATAATCAATACACTGTCAGAAGTGTTTTACCATTGATATCAAAGAAAGGATGTATTTGTCTGATTATATTTATAGAAAGAAATGAAAACATATTTAGAGGGAGAATCATGCGAGGTAAAAAAGAGAAACGTACAATTTAATTGCGTCAGATAAATAAAACGTGATGAGATCGCTGCAGAAGGCGACAGAAAGCAAAATTCCAAAGCTGAAAGCAGTTCGAGCTGAAAAAATTAAAAATAAAAGAAGATCGAATTTGGGTCCATTTGCTTGTTTTCGGGCCATTTGCAGAATGGTCAATATTAAGAGCATGTTTGCAAGAATTCTTTCCCCTTTTTTTCGAAAATTTTTACTCTTTTTCTCTAAATCATTGTTTGGCCATAAAATTTTTAATTTTTACTTGAAAATAAATTTTTCAAAATTTTCAATCATCACTCACAAAATTTCAAAAATAATCCAAAATTATATTTATGTCCAAACACAACTCTAAAATTTTCAAATATCATTTTCACTCAAAAAATTTTGAATTTTAGACTTCTTATGTCCA